TTCCGCCTCCCGGGGAACCAGCGAAACATGTCTACTCCAGGATCCCGCACACGCTTGGAACCGCTTTCCCGTGCAAGTGCCGGCGCAGTGCCAGACGAAGCGTCGGTGCGTAGAGTTATGTCGGGCGTGTCCCCCTAGAGGGGGATTTTCGCCGAAAAATATAAAGTACACCAAAAATACCCCAAACAAGTCCAAAAATGTCCAAAAAATAGTCCCCAGACTATTTTTTGATTATTTTTTTGCTATTTCTGGGGTATGTTACATTTTTCGTCGAAAATCCCCCTGTGGGGGGACAGGCCCTTTGTGGGCCCTGGAAACGGCAGGGACGTTTTTTCACAGTTTCCAAAAAAATGTCTCTTGAAAATGGAAACGGCAAAAAAAACGGCGACCGGAAACGGCAAAAAAAACAGCTCCAGGACTGGAACCGGAGCCAGAACCGGTCAAAAAGCGGCGACGGAACCGGTAAACAAACGGCGTCGGAACCGGCAAAAAAACGGCAAAACGGAACCGGTAACAAAACGGCCCTGTCGTTTCCAGGGCCCATTAAGGACAGGCCCGCTTTAAGCGTAGAGCTTGTTTCCCTAGGATTCACATCGGCGGATGCCAGGGGAACGGCCCGGAGCGGCCCGCCCGCCCCGAGTCGCCCTTGCCTCCACGGGCGGCACGGCCGCCGCAGCGTCTCGTGTCGCCTGCCGCGTCCGCATGCACGGCCGGGCACGCCGGCTCAGCGTGTCGCGCCGCCGGCACGTAAGAGTGACCCTTCGCCGGAGTGACCTGTGGTGCGGGCCCATTGGGGTCCCCGATCGCCGAGCGCGAGGCGGCAGTGGCTTCTTGCGCGCTTGCGTTTGGCCCCCCCGCGGCCCACAAGAAGCCGCGCACCAAAGGTCGCTCTTGCCCAGGGTCACTCTTGCGTGTAGCCGTGTCGCGCCGCTGGCTATGGCCCACCACGCTTCGGCGCGGCGCGCTGTCCACCCCCCAGGCCCCCCAGCCCTGGGCCGAAGTCGGGCCTGTCCCTCTGCAGGAGGAAGACGCAAAAAAATCAAAAAATAGTCGGTGAACGAGATTTTAGTATGTTTTGATTGTTTTTGGTTTTTCTGTATTGTTTAAAAGTTGTTCGTCCGAAATCCCCCTATAGGGGGACAGGCCCGACTTCGCCCTCGGCCTCCTAGATGGGGTCCGAGTAGATTGGGTGGGAGGATCGCGCCTCATCGCCGGTGCATCGCCGACGCTGCTCGATGTGGGGCCCGATTTGTTTCACGTCGACGTCGCCGATGCATCGCCGCCGACGTCGACGATGCATCCCCCGTGCATCGCCGATGCACCGCCGATGTATCGGCGATGCTGCGCGATCCCCCGACCCAATCTACTGGGACCCCATCTGGGAGGCCCCTAGCCACGATTCGGCGCGACACGTCATCCGCTCCCCAGGCCCCCCAGCACCAGCGCCCCGAACATCTCCCGGCCTCCCACCCCGCGGAGCGGAGCGGCACGCGATCCCCCTGCAAGGCGTAGCGTGTCGCCGGGCCCGCCGCGGCGACGCGCTGCGCGAGAGCCTTCCGGGCCGCAGCCCGCACGGGGGCGGGCAGAGCATCAGCGCCGTCGTCCTCCCCCGCGCCCCACCCCACCCTGCCCTCCATCTCCTCCCCCTTCCCCTCCTCCTCCTCCTCCTCCTCCCTCCTCCTCCTCCTCCTCTCCTCCTCCTCCTCCTCCTCCTCCTCCTCCCTCCTCCTCCCTCTCCTCCTCCTCCTCCTCCTCCTCCTCCTCCTCCTCCTCCTCCTCCTCCTCCTCATCATCATCATCATCATCATCATCATCATCATCCTCATCCTCATCCTCATCCTCATCCTCATCCTCCTCCTCCTGGCGGCGGGGGCTGGCGCTTCTAAGGATGTGGGCAGCTGGCGACTCAGAAGCCCTCGCGGCTCCTGAGAAGCCTCCCGAGCAGCACCTGGGAGCTCCACATGAGGGCCTTGGCCTGCTGCCCAGAACCTCCTCGACTTCTCAGAAGGCCGCCCCGTCCTCACGTGAGGTCTGGCGTCGCGACAAAAAATCGGCACCGTGGGGCGTCACGGCCAGAACCCTAGACCCCGGCAGTGTTCGGATTTTCACGGCGTCGTCCTCAGCAAGCTCGCTCAGACCGCTCGTGTGTAGAGGATTGGTACCATAGTGTGCACAAGCCGTTCGGCTGACACCGAAAGCATTGGGAGCTCTTCGCCCCCGGGTCGAGTCTAAGGAATCATATATACGTATGTATGTATGTGTGTATGTATGTATGTATGTATGTATGTATGTATGTATGTATGTATGTATGTATGTATGTATGTATGTATGTGTGTATGTATGTATGTATGTATGTATGTGTGTGTATGTGTGTGTATGTATGTGTGTATGTATGTATGTATGTATGTGTGTATGTATGTATGTATGTATGTATGTATGTATGTATGCATGTATGTATGTATGTATGTGTGTGTATGCGGGTATGCATGTATACATGCATGTATGCATGTATACATGTATGTATGTGTGTACGTATGTACGTATGTGTATGTGTATGTGTATGGGTATGTGTATGGATGTATGTATGTATGGATGGATGTATGGATGTATGTATGTAGATATGTTTGCGTGTATGTATGAATGTATGTATGTGTGTACGTACGTACATGTGTGTACATGTGTGTACGTACGTATGTGTGTATGTATGTAAACATGTGTGTAAGTGTGTATGTATGTATGTATGCGCGTATGTATGTATGTGTGTATGTATGCATGTACGTACGTACGTACGTATGTATGTTTGTATGTATGTGTGTATGCATGCATGTATGTATGTATGTATGTATGTATGTATATGTGTATGTTTGTATGTATGCCTGTGTGTATGTATGCGTGTATGTATGTATGCCTGTATTTTTATATGTATGTATGTAGGTAGGAACACATGTATACATACATATACACGTATATATGTATGTGTGTATGTAGACTTGTAATTGGTGCAACTATACATAGAATGAGCCATCCATCTACATAGGTATATATGTTTTAAACATAATATCAAAAAATAACAAAAAAAAAAAAAAAAAAAAAAAAAAAAAAAAAAAAAAAAAAAAAAAAAAAAAAAAAAAAAAAAAAAAAAAAAAAAAAAAAAAAAAAAAAAAAAAAAAAACACGCCGTCAGAGGCAACCCTCGAGCCAGATCGACTCGTGAAGGCCCTGGGGCCCGAGGCAAGGCGAAGAGCGTGGCGACGAGGCAGACCCAGGCAGGGCCCAAGGCGGCCCAAGAGGCGGCCCAAGAGGCCCCTGCTGCGCTCCTGGTCGGGCCACCGACTGGACGTGTCCCACCCACCCATGACCCAAGACATATTGATTTCAAAACGACGACGATGTTGTCTCCACACCGTATCGCTGGCGCTGGGCCGAGCCCTCCACCGCGTCACGGCGGAATCGTAGACTTGCCCGACGTCCGCCGACGTGTGCATGTCAACGCGCGGCCCCAGAGAGCCCCATCACTTCCACGGGGCCAGCTAGCCGCCCCCAGATCCATTTTTTATGGCCCCACGGCCCAGTAGCAAGCCCCAAAAGCCGAATCTAAGAAAAACGCCCGGATGGGCAAGCGTCATACAGTCAAGGCGCTGAAATAAGTACCGCCTTGGGCTCAGGAGGGACTCGGATTTTCGGGCAGTTCCTAAGGCTTGTGTCGTGGACCCTGTCTATGGCCTAGGCCCGCCGTGGCCAGAAAAGACCCCTCGCCCCCCGTTCAATCATGCGTTCCCTGAGTACCACGATGGCTGTATCGTCAAGAGGCCCTCCAGAGGCCAGCAATCTCTGACGTCCCGTGCGCATCGCCAAGACTCCGGTTGACCCCAAAAAGGGGTCCAGTGACAATGGGGTGGTCCAATAGAGTTGGTGTGATAGATCTGTGGGGTTGCAATACCTTGGGGGGAGCAAAAATGTATTGTTGGATGTCTGCGTGCAGTACACGACTTGCAATACAACGCCATACAGCTCTCCGGCGCAATGCGTTTGCAATACAATTGCCCCAAGTCTATTGCACCACCCTTTTTTCAGCTTGACCTCTTTTTAGTAGGGGGCCACATGCGAACCCTACCCCTGCCCTGCACGCCACGATCTCTGCGGGAAAGGGTGGGGCTCACTTCGCTCGGGACTTCGCTCGGGAGCTCCCGAGCGAAGTGAACCCCACCCTCCCCCTCAGAAATCGTGGGGGGCAGGGGTACACGTTGTTCATTTTTAATGATTGAGAGTTTTTGAGTTTTGGGGGGGCCGAGATCCTCTCATGTTTAATTGTTTTATCCTGGGCCTCGTCCTGGCCACTGGGGGGTCAGGAACACTTAGGAACGAGCACGATTAGAACTGAGCACGGTTAGAAACGAACGAGGTGTAGGATTCGCATGTGGCCCCCGATTTGGGCCACCCGAAACGACGAGGGCGGCCCTGCCGCGGGCGGCGGGCCCAGGGCCCTTCGCTGGCCGCAGAGGTGCCGGCCAGTCGGCCAGCCGGGGAGTCGGCCGGTCGGGCAGTCGGGGAATCGACCAGTCGGCCAGTCGGGCAGTCGGCCAGTCGGGGAGTCGGCCAGTCGGCCAGTCGGCCGTGCCCTTTTCGGCGCCTCGGCCCCACAGGGGCGCGCGGGGCGCGGCACCTACTTTTGGGGGGGGCGTGGCCCCGCAGAGCGGCAGGCCCCGCTCGGCGGCAGGGGAGGAGGGGAGGAGGCGGAGGAAAAGGAGGAGGAGGAGGAGGGTGGAGGAGGAGGAGGAGGAAAAGGAGGAGGAGGGAGGAGGAGAGGAGGAGGAGGAGGAGGAGGAGGGTGGAGGAGGAGGAGGGTGGAGGGTGGAGGAGGGTGGAGGAGCATGGTGGAGGAGGAGGAGGAGGAGGAGGAGGAGGAGGAGGAGGAGGAGGAGGAGGAGGAGGAGGAAGGGGAGGGGGAGGAGGGAGCAGGAGGAGCGGAACGCACGGCTCGGCGGCGTCGGGGGGCCTGAGGAGCGGTACGCCCAGCTCGGCGGCGTCGGGAACATCGAGAAGCTGATGGATCAGATGGCGCCCCCGCCGCCGCCGCCGACGGCGACGACGACGCCGCCGACGCCCGACGCAGCTGGCGGCGACAACGGCGTCCAGCGCCGCCGGCGACGACGACGCCGACGACGGTGGCGTCCAGCGCCGCCGGCGACGGCGGCGGCGACGGCGACGGCGACGGCGGCGACGACGGCGGCGGCGGCGGCGAGGGGCAGCGGGCGAAGGGCTGGAGGCGGCCCCTCGCCTGGCGATCGCGAGGCGAGGGGGCCGGGCGGGCGGGCTTTTGGAGTGCGGGGCTCAGGTCTCCGACCTCGCCTGTGTCGTGTCCTCCTCCTCCTCACTCCTCTCCTCCTCCTCCTCCTCCTCCTCCTCTCCTCCTCGACCTCCTCCTCCCTCCTCCTCCTCCCCTCCTCCTCCTCCTCCTCCTCCTCCTCCTCCTCCTCCTCCCTCCTCGTTCTCCTCCTCCCTCCTCCTCCGTTCTCCTCCTCCTCCTCCTCCTCCTCCTCCTCCTCCTCCTCCTCCTCCTCCTCCTCCCCTCCTCCTCCTCCTCCTCCTCCTCATCCTCCTCCTCCTCCCTCCTGCACCTCTCCTCCCTCCCTCCTCCTCCTCCTCCTCCTCCCTCCTCCTCCTCCTCTCCTCCTCCCTCCTCCACCCCTCCTCTACCTCCTCCCCCCGCCTGTGTCATGTTTCGCCGCGGTGCTTCTTCCACGTCTGCGAGCTTTCCCCTCCCCCCGACCCGCGCGGCCGCCCTCGTCTTGTTCCCTCCCTCTTGCACGCCGGACAGTTCGCCTTTCGGTTTTGCCCCGAATGACCGCACGCTGGAGCGGACTGGCTCTGCCTCGCCGCCGACGGAAAAGATGTCACGTTTCGCCGCAAGGTCAGCCCCACCGTTTCGTCGTCCCCCCCCCTCCTCGCCTGGGTTGCTGGGGGACCTTGACGCCGCCGGACAAAAATGTCATGCTTCGGCGCACGGTCAGCCCCACCGTCTCGTCGTCCCCTCCCCCCTCCCCGCCTGGGTTGCTGGGGCACCTTGCTGCCCCGCCCAGGGGGCCTCTGCTCGTGCCGGCTCTTCCGCCCTATCTTTAAGTCGTGCTTGTCCCTTTACAGGAGGAGTATTCAAAAATAGTCCAGAGATAGTCTGGGGACGATTTTTTGCGTATTGTTTGCATGTTTTGGGGTATTGCTAGACTATTGTTGCATTGTTCGCTCAAAAACCGCATATGGGGGGACACGCCCGACTTGACGTTATTTCGTATCATACAGCATACCCCTCAAGGGCAACGGAGCCTGGGGGAGGGGTGGGAGGGGCAGGCAGCAGCCGACAGTTTCGCTTGCCATCAGCTCGCAGTTCCCAGGCCCCCGACGGTCTGATTTCCTCAGCCCCAGGATTTCCTTAATCCCAGCGTTTCTCCTCGAGTGCAGCAGTTTTTGTATTACTTGTGTCGCCGATCGGCGCGGGCCTTTCCCCGTACCCCCCCCATAGACCAGATTTCGGTTGCTCTTGGCGGCTGGTTTGGGCGACTGGTCAGGACCCCCCCAAATCTGCTTGCGCGATTGGCAAAAGCAGATCGATTCAGCACTGGGCCAGACCCAGACTCCCCCCCTCCCCCACCCTTCAACCAAATGTCGAAACCCAGAATAAGAAATTACACCGGAGAAAATTCCCAATCAGTGGATGGTTGAAACATTTGGCAGGCGCCGAAGTTTTTAGGAAGCCCTAAATACAGATTCGGTGCAAGATTTGGAAGGGTTTTGGCGGCTTGATATCGTTTTCCGACCTATCCTTGCCCGCCCTAGTGAAGTCGATTCAGCGAGATCGATAGTGAGATCGATCGTTAGATCGCCCGTGTGATCTATAGTGAGATCGATCGTGAATCGATTGTGAGATCGGTTGTAAGATCGATAGTGAGATGAAGGAGATCGATGAGGAAACCAGGAACCTGGAAACCAGGGAACCCCGCCGCCTACCGAAATCGGCCCGGAAGCAGCAAACGGGCACCCGGGAAGTCGGAACCCGAACCCGGGAACCCAGGAACCCAGCCGCTTGCCGAAATCGGCCCCGTATGTTCGCCAAGTCTTTCAATCTCCGCCAGGACCCCTTCAGTGCAAGCACTGATTTGCGAAAAATGCTTTGATTCCCCCCAGGGTTCCCAAATTGATTCCGAGTAGAGGAGATACAAAAAACACAATTGCCAGCAGTTGTGGCTCCATTCAATGAGGCTCTGTCGTTCCCACGTGAATGTCCCAGGCGAATTGACCAGTGTGCATTTTGCACATGGGCATGCCTTCGCGGTTTTCACGTGTGTATCAGTGTCCCAGGGAGTTTCCCAGCGTGGATGTCTCTCTGCGCTTTCTACATGAACACGTTCTTCGTTTTCCATCTGAACGTGTCTGCTCCTTACATCCAGAAATAGCTTAGTTATTTACAGGTGTGGTTTCGTTGTGTGGTTTCTTCGCTTCTTCAGATGGGGTCGGATCGCCGATGCATCGGCGACGCGGCTTGATGTGGAGCCCGATTTTCTCCACGCCGACGTCGCCAGTACATCGCCGACGTCGCCGATGCATCGGCGATGCGGCGCGATCCTCAGATCCCAGCTGCCTGGGCCCAATCCTGGGAGGCCTCAGGAGACCGGCCTAGAACGGCGAGAGCTCATTTGGAGAGCAACCCTTTTCTAGATTCGAAGCTGTTACATGTTTCCAGGGCGACTGTGCGTGGCGCGAAGGTGATAGCCACAACAAGACGGATAAACGATGTGTGCCTCAAGTGCAACCAGATTGTAAGACGAACGCGCGCAGCGATGGGGCGACAGACACTTTGAACATCACTTGTGATATGTCCTTGAGGCTGCTGCAACTCTTTCAGGCGAATGTGCGCGCGGCGCTTGGGCGAGAGCCCCATTTTGAAATCCACCACCACCACCACCACCCCTCCATTCTTGACGCTGTTGCAACTGTTGCAATTGCCGAGCATCAGGATCATGAATGGTGAGGGAGTCTCAGGCCAAACGCCTGGCCCCTCCTACCGACACGTCTGGGGCAGTGGCAGGGAGTAGCCCTGTCTCAGGAAAGGTGGTGGAAGGAGGAGGAGCAGGAGGAGGAGGCGGAGGAAGAGGAGGAGGGAGGAAGTAGGGAGGGAGGAGGGCGGGAGCAAGGAGGAGGAGTGTTAGAGAGGATGGATGTGAGAGGAAGAGGAAGAGGAAGAGGAGGAGGAGGAGGAGGAGAGGAGGAGGAGGAGGAGCTCCTTCTCCTCCCTCCTCCTCCTCCTCCCTCCTTCTCTCTCCTCCTTCATCTCTGTATCCTCCTCCTCCTCCTCCTCCTCCTCCCTCCTCCTCCTCCTCCCCCTCCTCCTCCCCCTCCTCCACAGAGGAGGAGGAAGAGGTCAGGGGCGGGGAGGAGGAGGAGGAGGAGGAGGCGGAAGAGGAGGAGGAATAATAATAAGACTAACAAACAAAGAAGACAGGGAGGAGGAGGGACAGAAAAGGAGCGACGATCGAGGAGGAGGAGGAGGAGGAAGAGGAGGAGGAGAGGAGGGAGGAGGAAGGAGGAGAGGAGAGGAGGAGGAGGAGAGGAGAGGAGGGAGGAGGAGGAGGAGGAGGAGGAGGGGAGGAGGAGGAGGAGAGGAGGAGGAGGAGGAGGAGGAGAGAGAGGAGGAGAGGAGGAGGAGGAGGAGGAGGAGGAGGAGGAGGAGGAGGAGGAGGAGGAGGGAGGAGGAGGAGAGGGAGGAGGAGGAGAGGAGGAGGGGAGGAGGAGGAGGAGGAGGAAAGTGACCTTTCTTCAGGGTGCACTTTTGGCTGGCACCTATGCAGTTTCCCTACTCACACTCCCTGGGCACGCTCGCATTGCCCACTCTACCCATCCGAAAGCCGCGCACCAAAGACCACCCTTACCCAGGGTCGCTCAGGAGGGCAAAAAACACACAATTAATTTGCGATTCCCACAAAATATGAGAAAATATGGACAGTGGGGGGGAAGACAGAAACCCAGAAAATATGGGGGATATTTTTTTATTTGTGTGTATTTATTTGTGTGTCCAAGTTCCCCTTCAGGGTCGCACTCTTGGGCGCACGGCTGGCACGAGCGCTCAGAACAGCCCCAGCCTTAGGGGGGCAGCCCTTTCCTTAATGGAGGATGACGATTAATAAATGACCGGGGGTCGTGTTCACGCGGCGGCGCCCGGGATGACGATTAGAAAAAACCGGCCGCGGGCTGGAAAACTATTTTTTTAGCGTTATCCTCCAGTCAGAAAATCGTGCAGAAATAGCAGGAAACTATTTGTTTCATCGTTCTCTCCAATGTGTGATTCATCGTCATCCCGCATTCTTCGTCTCTGGGCTCTCCGCCACGGAATGGTGCTCACGTCTGTGGGGCTGCCGCTCTCGACCCACGCCCTGGCGACCGCGCCCCGATTCCCGCCACGGGGATTTTGTTTCTCAGTCCGCGGCCCCAGGGGCACCGACCCTTTCGCTGGAGGTGGGTTCTCGCACCGGAACTACAGTCGGGGCCCTGAAGAAGGAACCCTTTTCGTTGGGAAGGGGCTCCGTGTTCCTTAATCGTTTCGCAGCTTGCCCTGGATTTGCCCTAGGTCTTCGATGCGAACTCGAAGTTCAACTTATGGAAAATAGGGGCCTCGTTCCTTAATTTGGGTTCCTTAGGTCAACGCCTCGACTGTAGCGTGTATGAACCGATCGGGAGCCTGCGAGGCGGCCGCGCGTATTGGCTGACCCGGGTTTGCGAAGATCTGCGTTGCAGTTTTTTTTCCTCCTTTGCAGTTTTTGGCTTCCTGCTGACCCGGGTCTGGATTGACCCGGGTCAGGAGATCCCCGACCCGAGGGCCCGGTACAGAGCCCCAGAGGCAGAAATCAAGGAAAAACGCCCAGATTGCAGAGATCGTACTGGGATCGGCGCGGGGGGTGCTAAAGGGAGGGGGTGGTCATCGCTGGAAGCCAGAGTGGATTACAATTTACGGGTGGGTTGCAAATGCCCCAAGCGGCTCCGGTGGGTTTACGATCGGGGCTAGGTGAGCTTCGCCCACTTGGCGGAGCATCCGAAACCTTTAAGCCACCTGGGGCATCTGAAGCCCACCCACAAGCCAGGCTGGGCCAGAGATGTATAAGCCACCTCGGCATCCGCTGATAACCCCCCCCCCAGTCCCCTTAGCAACCCCCGCGCCGATCCCAGTAGCCAGCTCGAGAGGGGGGCCGTGGGCAAAAGGCCTGGCGTGCGATCGGCAGGGGCAGGGGGCGCGGCGGGGGGGAGGGCCGCGGCGAGCGGGCGCGCGCGCACAGGCGGACCTGAACGACGAGATCCAGGACGGCGCCGCGGCCCCCGGAGGTGGCAGGTGGTCGTCGCCGCCGCCGCCGCCGTCTCCTCACTGGGATTGCTGCGGTGGTTGCTAATCACGCCCCTTCGATTGGTAGACCGGAGAGCTCTTGAGCTGCTCTAAATCTCGAGATGTAGTCAAAAAACGTTTGAGACATCAGCATAGCTTCAATGCGGAATAGCTCTTCGAGCACAGCTCGACTATTGAACCGATCTCAGAGCCCTCGAGGTCGCAGACTGATGCTTTCGATCACGCCCGTTCGATTGGTATCCCAGAAAGATCTGCAGCTGTTCTGGGGTTATCACTGGATGCCAGGGTGGATTGCATCTGGCACAACCTAGCTCCTCAGTGGGTTACACATATACCCCACGTGGCTCAGAAGGTGTTCGATAACTCCGCTAAGTGAGCGGATCCCACGTATAACTAAACTAGGCTTGGCCAGCTGTAACCCACCCGCTTTCCCCCAAGCAAGCCCCGTGCCGATCCCAGCAGATCGTCGCCACCGCCGCTGTCGCCGTCTGCCCACCTCGTCGCGCCGTGAAGAATTACGACGGGTGGTCTTTGCCAGTTTTCGGCTTCGAGAGCCCGTCTCTCGACCTCTACCTTCGGCGCCTTCTGGACGGCAGATGCCGCGCCGCAGCCGCCGCCAGCGCGGTCGCGGTTGCGGCCGCCCTCGAGGCCACAGCGGTGGTCTCGGCAGTTGCCGCGACCGCGCCGCGGCAGTACCTGCTGCGCGGAAGGCTCGGAAGGTGGAGGTCGAGGACTACCGGGCCCCAGCATCGTCAAACAAACGATTCGGGATGAACAGCCAATCCTCAGGAAGGGGTCCAGACCTCTGCGGAGCCACGTTGCGACTAAACTCAGGACGCACCCTGACACCATCCGCCGATGTGTTTTTTTCAGTCCGCGCTCCCAGAGGTCCCCACCCCTGTCCCCGGCGGCAGGTTTCCGTCCGGGATCCGCTCGTCATGTCCCCAGGACCCAAGGAGGAGCCCCAGAGGCCGAAGCCGACGAGAAACGCCGCGATCGAAGGCCGGCATCCGCTCGAGAGCGGTGCACCTGGCGCCTCCAGGCCCCAGCCGGCGAGAGCTGAGGAGGAGAGTATGTGAGCGTACGGTTGAACTCTGCACGAACAACCTGGGTACGGAAAGAATGGGTACAATACCCAACAGCAGTTCCTGTTCATTCTGAACAGGACTCGCTGTCCGCGCCGCCGCTGCCTGTGTCCATTTGAGACAGGAGGCCGCCTGCCCAACAGCGGCCGCTGATGGTTTGGGACAACATTTGTTGTTGGGCATTGGACCCATTCTTTCCGTGCCCATGTCGGGCGTCCAAATATACGGGATCAGTCAGACCCCTTCACCGCAGCGACGAATTTGGAGCCTACCCCGAATCATCTGGGAGCCTACCCCAGAGCAGCCTACCCCAAGGTCATGCCGCTGTCCCACTCCTCCTGAGCTTCCAAGGCCGACAGAAGGCCACCACGTCCTGAGGGGAGGGGAGCCATGCAGCTCAGCGACGACCCAATCCACCAACCACTGGATTCGGGTCCCAATACTCTGAGACACAAGAATCAAGTTGACCCTTCCCGAGGACTGAGGATGTGATGTAGGGGCGCGGCGGTGCGCCAGGACATTAACGAGGCGATGTCGACCAGCTACGCCGTCCCCGACGGCTTCGACGAGGCCTCGCTCGAGGAGGAGTTCGGCGCCCTCGAGGAGGAGACCCCACGGGCCATCGGGAGGAGAAGAGGTAAGAGGAGGAAGGGGAATTGGGAGGGAGAGGGGGACGGGGAGGGGGAGGAGGAGGAGGAGGAGGAAGAGGAGGAAGAGGAGGAGAAGGAGGAGCAGGAGGGGACGAGCAGGAGAAGGAGGGAGGGGGAAGGTCGAGGCGTCTCATGGGGCTCTGGGGAGCTGGGAGTTACAGGGGAGTCCCAGGACGGACATGGGAGGAATGAGGAGGGGGAAGGTGATGAGCAGGAGGAGGAGACGACGTGCAACGATGAGGTGACGGATGAAGTGGCGTCTTAGGCCGTCGCAAATAGATCGATTGAGCCCAGCACGGCAGTGCATGCCCCGTCTCGCTTCGATCCCTTTTTTGCAGTTTTCCTCCCTGACGTTGGATTAATCTACGTTGTGCGTGTCTGTCTATATGTGTGTGCTTGTGGACATGCATATGTCTACGTAGATAGAATTGTGCATACATATGTAAATAAGTATGTATGCATATGGCTGTGCTTCTTGATAGAGACCGCTATCATTGTCGTTCCCTCCCTGTCTCTCGCGCTCTCTCTCTCTCTCTCTCTTTTTCTCGCTGTCCCTTTACCTGTCTCTCCTTTTTTTGTTTCTCTCTCTCTCTCTCTCTCGTTGCTTACATATGCATGCCGGCACGTGTGTGTATGCGTGTGTGTGTGTGTGTTTGTGTGTCTGTGTGTCTGTGTGGGTGCCTGCCCCTGCGTCTGCGTATGTGTCTGTTGTCTGTGTCTGTGTCTGCGTGTCTGTGTGTGTGTCTGCGTGTCTGCGTGTCTCTGTGTCTCTGTGTCCCTGTGTCGCTGTGTCTCTGTGTGTCTGCGTGTCTGCGTGTCTGTGTGTCTGTCTGTCTGTGTGCCTATGTGTCTGTGTGGCTGTGTGTCTGTGGGTATGTGAGTCTGTGTGTCCGTGTGTCTGTGTGTCTGTGTGTCTGTGTGTCCGTATGTCTTTTTGTCTTGTGTCTGTGCGTCTCTGTGTCTGTGTGTCTGTGTGTACGTGTGACTGTGTTTGTGTGTGTGTGTTCGCCATTGCGGGTTCTAACTGGGATCAGCTTGCTTTGGCCCGATTCCGCAGTGTCGTTGCGCGCACGGCCGCGACGCCCCAAAGTGCGAGCCCCCCCTTTACATCTACATCTACAGATGCACATGTACATCGACATGCACATGAACATATCCATATACGTACACATATACGTATACGTACAACATGCGTACATACATGTGCATACATTTAAATGCATATATAAGTACATAAAATACCGACATGCGTACATAAATGCATGCATGCATACATGCATGCATACATACACACATACACTTACCTGATCACATCTAAACATATATATATATATATGTACACATACGTGCATGTGTATATATATATATGTGTGTGTGTATGTATATATGGTCCCCACCCCACCCCACCCCACCCCACCCCACCCAGTCCCCCTCCCAGGCGCCCAAACCCAAAAGAACGTGTGCTGGTCGTCGTGTTCTCTTATTCCGTCGCCTCAGCTTCCGTTTCGTTCTTGCTGATTGTTAATTGTTCTATCCTTCTTCCTTCTCTTTTGCTTGCTCCTCCTCGTCCATCTTCCATCGCTCCCTGTGTGAAAGAGGAGAAGGGAGGTGTTGAGTTCCAGCTTGGGGCTGGAGAATAAAAAACGGAGGTAAAAAAACACAGTTGGCAGAAAAACGCCGACGAACAGTTTCTGACGAAAAGCACACAACGTATTCAAAACATAGCAAGCCAGAGCAAGTCGTGAATTATGTTGGTTTGTTATGTGTGTGTGTTTCATATAGTGTTCTTGTTTTTTCCAGCCGTCGGCATGTGAGTTATTTGTTATGTTGTGTTTATAATGTTTTGTGTTCGGATGCTAGTCCTTGTTTCTGTTGCGCTTTCAGCCCCCAGCTCCCCAGCTGGAGTTTCGGAGCCCATTCCTTCTCCCTGCTCTTCCTTCTCCCTCCTCCTCCCTCTTCTTCCTCGTCCTCCCCCTCCCTGCTCCTCCTGCCTGCCTCCTCCTGCCCCCTACCACAACCAGTAGGACAGATCTGAGCACAGCCTCCAATGCGTGTCCCACTACAGTCTCTGAGGCTTTTGGGGGGTCGTCCAGTAGTACAGCTTACGCTTCCGCTCCGAATATAAAGTGTACTGCATGCACAACTGCAGGAAATACGACAGCCCCTTGGCGCAGCCAATAAACCAACTCCCGATGCAGTGCATCAATCCCCACTACAGCTCGCACAAGTGACCCGTTCTTGTATGTCATTTAACAGGGCTTAATACAGGTCACATTACAGCCAGCAGCAACGTTCTCTCACACCTGCTCGTTCTACGCCACCCACTACAGCTCCAGTTGCAATTCCTACAACCGCTCCTTCTACAACGCGTACACCAAGTCCGACTGCAGCCACTAGCAGCACAGTCCCTTTTTACGTTATTTGTTGCCGCTCCTGCTTCCGAAAGGTTACACATGCGACTATGTATCCGAACGCAGTTCGTGTCCCAATTCCGAGTACAGCCAGTAGTACAGTTTCGTAGCAAGAGAATTGCAATGCACACCCCAATGCAGGTCGCAATGCGCTTCGATCTAGAGTTCCGACTGTCGTTCTTCGTACAGGCAGCAGTACAGCTCTCATTACAATGTTTGGCCTTGTCTTCGGGGATCGAAGGAGTTGTCATCTCTTCCGCGGCGGAAGGTCGGCGGAAGTAAAACGAGGCCGCCTCCGCCGGCGGAAGTTGGCGGAAGGGTGGCGGAAGGTGGCGAACATAAAAAGTGCGCCCCCAAGAAATGAAAACGTGTTTGGGTTCAGGGTTTCCGAAATCGCCCACATACATCCGCGCATCGTTTACTACAGTTCCCCCCGCGCAGCGTTGACTGCAACTCCCAGTCGAGATCTTACGTGTGTGGGTCGTAGAACTCCCATCTCAGCTCTTACGTTTGCCCCTTATACAGGTCCTACTGCAGTTCTTCGGTACAGCCACTAGAGCAACCCCCATTACAATATACCAACCGCCACTACAACTCGTACACATGCCCTCTTGCTACAGGTCTTTTAACAGGTCGGAACACACCTCCTGTCACACCACGCAGCAAAGTTCCCCCACAACAATTCGTTCACGTATTCCGATATCAGTTCCACCGTATTCGTTGTTACCATTCCTACAGAGCATGATACACATCCGATTGCATATCCGAACGCAGCTCCTATTGCAAGTCGCACTACGGCCAGCAATACAGCTCTGCACGCTGTGCATCGCAGTTCTCTTTCTACGGATCCAAAAAATCAGCAGTACATATCCCACTGCAGCTCGAAATGTATGCATATATATATATAGATATATACAGATCCTAGCGCAGTTCTCTGCGCAACCAGTCGAACAACCCTCATTCGAGTGCCTTCTACAACGCGTGCTACATATATATATATATATGTATAAATATATATATATATATATATATGAATAGCTATCTATATATACATATATATATGCATCTCCTACCGCAGTTCCCTGGCGCAGCATTAACTGCAGTTCCCCACTGCAGCTGTTGGTTGAGTGGGCCGTAGAACTGTCAGCGCAGCTCTTACGATTGCCCAAACATTACAGCTTCATCAGGTCGGACACCACTTCCTACTAAAACCAGTAGTTCAACCCTCCCGCAGCTCTTAGCACAGATTTTGCAGCTGCTCTCGCCAAGCGGTGTTACAGGCGCTCTTGCTACAACTGCTACTGCAGCTCTTAATATGAATTCTACCACTGCCAGTCTCAGCCACGACATTTGGTACTACGGTCCCTGATGCAGCTCCTACTTCATATCATACGGCAATTATTCTCGCAAGTCGTACTACAGAAAGGAGTGCGGATATCAATGCAATCCTTGTTCCATACCCGATTGTCGCTGCTATTACAACCAGTGGTACGCTTCTGATTGCTATACTGCTGATGCTCTTACGGATCGCAGTACAGCCAGTAGCGCAGTTGTTGTTATGTCTCTTCCGACTGCTTGTATTGCATTGAATGGTCGTGAGATTGGTAAGTGTGGTCATGATAACAGGGTCGACTCGGCAAAGGAGGTGCAGGAACGGACAGACAGGAAAAGAGATAGGAGGAACGAACATTGCAAGGAGAAGAGAGGAGGAGGAGGAGGAGGAGGAGGAAGAGGAAGAAATATGAAGAGAAGAGGAGAAGGAGGAGTAGGAGAAAGACACAGAGGATACATGGGCGGGAATCGAAAGTACATTGGGGCGAGCTGTACATATACACCCATGTACATACATATACAGATATACCTACGTATTGATCGTGTTCATGTGACCGACGTTGTGTTCGTCCAGGCTTGCGAGTGTGCCCCTCTTGAGGGTATCTTTGTGGTGCTCTGATATTGCATGGGGTCATGCTGTGCCATCTGGGGCCGTGTAAGGATAGATAGTGAGATCCACCAGTAGAAAGTGGCATTTAGATGATATCGAAATGCATGCATACACCGCATACGTATGCGTGTATACATACATACACATATACATACATACATACATACATACATACATACATACATACATACATACATACACAACTATGTACA